ACTTGGATGACCTCCAATGTTTATATCTAGGGAATGTTGTCCTTACGGTTTGATCTTGTTTGGAAAAAGTAAACTCCCCTTGAAAAAAAAAAGAAAAAAAAAAAGGTCAAGTACTCTCTTTGTGACTCGATTTGAGCATTTATGAGTTGTGTATGGATTATTTTGGTTTGGGGATGAGAAACACTGATGTTGATTAGGGATGAGTAGCGGAATAGTCGAGTAGTCTATTTACTCGAATGATATGATTGTTTATTTGAGCCACTTTATCCATATATATCCTACCTTTGACCAAATAGCCTACGTTACAACCCGAGAAGACCTTTTGATTTAAAGCTCACGATTACTAATTGTTTTTGAAGTAGGGTGTTAGATGATTGGCAAACATATAGTTAACTGGGTGTTTAATTTGACTTGAGCGTATCCTTCTCTTTTATATATTGATGACATGAGAGTGAGGCACTTATATATTCCTATTTGAGAGTTCGTTGATTCAAGGTAGACACAAGATAGTAGTCAAAAGCTTGATTATTATGATCGTTTGAATTTTTCTTGGTTGCATTGAAGAACTTGAAGCTGTTCTAGTTTGATATCACTCATTATGCTTGAGTTTTGATTTTTTTATTCTTGTTCGGGGACGAACAAGGGTTTAAGTTTGGGGGAGAGCATGTGTGTGTGTGTGTGTTGAATGTGTGTGACGAGAGTGTGTGTAGTGTGTGTTTTAAGTGTAAGTGTGAGAAATAGTTAGTCGGTTGGTGGTTGGTCTCATAGGTGAATGAGTAATGTTTGTTTTACTCATATTGAGTGGTCAAATGTAAAAACATGTGACCTCAAAATGTACACTTATTACGAAATTGTCATTACATATTTGATTGTAATATTTAAAATTTGACTTGATCATGACCATTGATATTTCTGATCCAATACATGTTTATTCTTATTTTTTTCATTATCCATAATTTTTACATGATCTTAACTTCATATTTTGAAATACGATATAAATAATGATATAATATTTTATATAAGTGTGATTTTTTTTAATCAACTATTAATCATTTTTTTTATCATTTGTGAATGAATTATTAGCTGCAAACAGGTAAAAGGGGCAAAAATCTTTCAAATGAGTAGGGGTGAGCAAAACCAAGCCGATACCGAAAAACTGAGCCCAACCATGCAGTTTGGTGCTGTTCAGTTCGTTTTTTTAATGTAGAAACTTTTCGGTTCGGTTTTGGTTCTTTTTTTTCCTACATTACGGTGCAGTGCGGTTATAGTTTTCCAAAAGTTCGCTTTTCGGTTTTGTTAAATTCGGTATGATTTTGCACCGAACCACACCAAATTACATAAAATGTATAAAAAGACAGAGATAAAACTGAAAATCAAACTGAACCGTGCATTTCGGTGCAGTTCGGTTTGGTTATTTCAGTGTCAAAAGATTTCGATTCGATTTCTGTTTGATTTTTTTCAAAGTTCGGTTATACTTTTTGCTAGGTTTGATTATCGGTTTTTTGCGGTTCGATGCGATTTTTCAACAAACCACACCGTTACACACCCCTACAAATGAGCGAGACTTTTTTTTTTTTTTTTTTTTTCTTCAAAAGAAAAATGAACTAGATAATGATCGTCAGACGTCAAAATGGTACCAAAAACGATATTTTGCCGCTTTGTGAAAACACCACTGCAAAAATCTGTTCTTCCTCTCGGCCCTCAGTCACAGTTTCCATGGAGGGCTCAACGCTACCTTCGAACCTCCCCAATACCCCGCCTCGACCCAACGTCGATAAAATCAAGCAAAAACTCCTGAAACGCGGCGTCGAGCCTAGCCCCAAAATCCTACATAACCTCCGTAAAAAGGAGCTCCAAAAATCCAACCGCCGTCTGGCCAAGCAAGCCTCCAAGATGCCTCCGCCCCTCACCGACGCTCAGAAACAGTCCCTTTTAGAAGAATTGCATTTTCAGACAATCAAGTCCGAATACAAGAAATTCACAAGAGAAAACACGAAACTGGTCGGAAAGCCTTGGGAGAAACTTGAAAGGATCCGGTTGAGGGAGCTTGCGGGCGAGGAAATGGAGTACGGTGGCGAGAGATTGAATCAAGAGCATCTGAGCGAGCTAAGTGACGTAATTGAGCTCGAAAGGGATAAATTCTCTTGGCTTTTGGATAATGATATCGAGCTTGAAGAAGGATTGGTCGAGAATGACGGGACAAAGTGGGCCCCGCCGAAGCGCCGCGAGCCCGAATCAATTAACCTTCTAATCCACAGGTACGTGTTGCCTCAGTTTTAGTGTTTTTTTTTTTTACTATGTTCTCTTATTTCAATTGTATTCTTGCTGGTTAATTCTATTGGTGCAAGTTTTGTGTTGATTTAGGTTAAGTGGGACAGAATTAAGTGTGAAAGATTGGAAGTTTACTCGGATGATGAGGTATTCTGGATTGCAGTTTACTGAAGACCAAATGTTGAAGATAGTCGAGGGCCTTGGGAATAAAGGACAATGGCGGCATGCAGTTTCTGTTGTAGAGTGGGTATACAACTCAAAGGAGCACAAACATTTTAGGAGCAGGTACAAGCATTGGTCTTTGAGTACGAATTGTTACAACTTCATTCCTTTTGTGTTTATTCGCTCGGTTACAAGTTTAGGTTTGTATACACGAAGTTATTGAAGGTTCTTGGGAGAGCCAGGAAAGCAAGTGAATCTCTTAAAGTCTTCAATCTGATGCGTGTAAGGATTTTATTGCATTTTCCATATGCATTCCGTTTAGATCATTTTGATTAATTTGATGGAAATTTAGTCCCGAATTGTTCATAGGGGGATGCACACATATATCCTGATATGGCCGCATATCATTGTTTGGCTGTTACATTGGGTCAAGCGGGTTTGATAAAAGAGCTGCTGAGTGTTGTTGAGTTCATGAAAGAAAAGCCCAAAAAGATTAGAAATATGAGACGCAAAAATTGGAATCCTGAGCTTCAACCTGATATTGTTATATTTAATGCTGTAAGTGAGTTCGAGACTACTTTTCTGAGAGATTCTTTTCGGTTATTTTCATAGTTGGTTATGCCGGTTATGTCGCTAAACTGGATTTTCCTGTAGATTCTAAATGCATGCGTACAGAAGTGCCAATGGAAGGGTGTATCATGGGTTTTCCAACAGTTGAGAAAGAATGGCCTCAGACCTAATGGAGCAAGTTATGGTCTAGCAATGGAGGTAGCCATTTGTGTAGTTTACTTATGTGCTGCATTCAAGTATTACTCTGGTCTGATTGGATATTGTTTTTCTGTGCTGGAATTATTTTTAGGATGCAAGGATCTAGCAATCTGAACAACGTAGCATAACCTAGCATGGATTAGTTGAATAATCTTCATGATATGCTCCTCTGTTTGGTGACACTCCCATTCCACCTTTGACAAATCAAGTAATAATTCATTTAAATGGATTGAAAGTAAAAGCACTCCAGAAGACACTTGAACGTGGTGTGAGTTTATATTTGATCAATACAAACCAAACCCCTTTACACTGGCCATTTTGATAAGCTAGTCTCTCTTAGTCAGTCAGTATATTCTTGTCAAACATGTAAATGGTGCTCGAGAATATCTCCCACCGTCTCACATGTGCTTTTCCTGAAGGTAATGCTCAAATCTGGGAAGTACGACTTAGTCCATGAATTTTTTGAGAAAATGAAAAAAAATGGAGTATCTCTAAAAGCCCTGACATACAAAGGTAATACTATCTATTTACTAATCAGTAACATGTATCTTTGTCTATCAGTAACATGCATCTTTGTGGCTTCTTACTCATCTACTCTTTCAATTACATAGTTCTTGTCAAAGCTTTATGGGAGGAAGGCAAAGTCAATGATGCTGTTCAAGCAGTCAGGGACATGGAAAGGAGGGGAGTAATTGGAACAGCAAGTGTATATTATGAGCTAGCTCGCTGTCTTTGCTTCTATGGCCGACGGGAAGATGCCCTTTTGGAGGTTAGTTTTGACAAGTATTTGTTTATGTCATTGGATTTGTGTTTAGGTAATCTGAACTCGAATTGAGATGGAGACAAAAAAAGAGCCGTAAAACGGGATTGATGAGTGTCGCCAAAATGGTATTGTAGGCATGACACTATTTAAGAGATGCACACAAAAAGTAGTTTAGAAGGGATGACAACTGGCTCATATTTTCTTCTTTCTTTTCATTATTCTCGATGTATTTCTTGATTTTATACACCGACATTACGTTGTGGTTGCATTCTAATTTTTTATGTCATGCTGTAAGGCATATCAGAACTTATATTTAATGCTGTTAGATTGTGAAGCCAGTTTTCAGAAGTTAGAAAGCTCTCTCTCTCTCTCTCTCTCTCTCTCTCTGAAAAAGAAAAGAAATCTTTGTAGACTTTTAATATGCATCTGACGTGAAGCTGAACCAAGATGGTTTGAAAATACGTCTGTTTCTTATCTCCCTCTCGCAGGAAATAATTACATAGCTACCAACTTACCATCATTTTTTTGTTGGAAAAACAAAGTTCATGTCCAACTATATTTTAAGATACTAACTATATTGCATGTAAATCCTAACGCAACAGTTAAATCCTTTTTCTCATGCAAAATTGCTGTAGATTGAGAAGCTGAAAAACCTTCGCCCAACAAAATCTTTGGCAGTAACTTTCACTGGCATGATAATGTCTTCCTTGGACGGTGGACATATTCAAGACTGCATTTTACTCTATGAGCACAGCATAACCCTAATGGCTCCGAATATTGGTCTCATAAATGCCATGCTGAAAGTTTATGGTCGACATGACATGTTCCTGAAGGCTAGAGAATTATTTGAAGAGACCAGGAAATATGATTTTCATTCTGAAATAGGCGAACATGATCATAATTTTTTCCTTAAAGAAGAAGCATACACCTTCAGCTTGATGCTCGAGGCTTCTGCTAGTGCTCTCCAGTGGGAGTATTTTGAGTATGTTTATAAGGAGATGACCCTTTCTGGTTATCGGGTTGATCCACGTAAACATTCGGTTCTATTGGTAGAAGCATCAAGAGCTGGAAAGGTACTACAACAACTTTAGCACAAACAGTACATTACTTATGCCTTATTTCAGTGGAATGAACTATATGCTTCTGTCAAGATTTAGTTTGACTAACGAAAATGAAAGTTACATTTCTAAATTATAAATGCCCCCTTTTACACCTTCCACAAATTTAGGATGGGGGAGTAATTTGTAAAATTATTACTAACCTCAACGAGGTTGTAATTGTTTGAGACTAGTATCGTGGCCCGTGCAAATGCACGGAACTATTCAACATAAATGACATAAAGAAACATAAATAGAATAAATAATTTTTATATACAATTAAATAGATTACTATAAACAATGTTTATATTTGTATATTTTATTTCTCATCATATATCAAAATCTTGTGTCTTTTCTATTTGTAACTCGAGAAGCAAGAGTTCGTAGGAGTTAAAAGACTAAAAGAATATTCTTATTATATATATATTTTTTTTAATAGAACAAATTGACATAATATTAGGTTTAAAAAAAAAAAAAAAAAAAAAAAAAAAAAAAAAAAAAAACTTCTTTAATGTTGGAATATTTGTTTATAAATCATTATCTTGAAGAATCCAATTTTATGTCGCTATGTCTACTATAACTTCTGATTGAATAAATTAAACCAACGAAGTTTTCAAAAATCGGCAACATCCGTTGGCGAGTTAGAAATATAATCAAAATATTTCGGAAGGTTTGATTGTCAAAAGTTAACGGAATGTTTTATAAAAAAACTTTGTTCTTGTTTACCATGAACAATGTATGATTGTATTTTTCTTGGTCCCTTAATTAATCAATGAGAAAGTTACATTGTTCACTTACAATGTATGATTTTATTTTCAGATTTATAAAGTTTTTCAAATTACAAATATACTAATTTTGGCTGTTTATGAATAATTCATTTGTGTTTTTATATAAAAATTATATATATATATATATGTATAAAAAAAAAATATATATATATATATATGTATATATATATGTGTGTGTATGTATTCTAAATTGTATTGTTCTTGGGTTGAAACTTCGTTTATAAACGGGTTATTTGATTTTATTCTTATGTTGTACCACAATACAAACGACCAAAAACTTCTCTTTTATAATTAATGATTAACTTCTCTTTTTTTTTCTTGTTCCTTAAAACTTTTGAACATATGTTCTGTCTTTCTCCCTCTGTCTCTTTCACTTTAAAATTCATGGATTTTCTCTCAAATATTTTGTTGATACTTAAATAAAGATCATTCTCTTTAGTTGTTCATTATGTTATATGTTATGTGCCAGAACCATTACATGGTGTACGTAATTGATTTATTTTTCTCAATATTAGCAGTTGTATCTTGTGAACATATATGCAAACTCAGGTTGCTAGTTTATCTAAATCGTGGTGGTTATGGGACCCCAACTTCTCCACGATTTCACCAGCACTAATTCACTTATCTTAAAACTGAAAATATATTTATGCACTATTAATATGTAGGATGATCTTTTATTCAAATTCTTCTTATGCTTTAATATTTTCGTAATATTTTTTTTAATCCTGTTAGCATTCTAAACATTTTGTTTTTTGTAGGTATAAAGACAATCTCAAGTTTTTTTTTTTAATTAAAAAAAATTATTTTAGAAGAAAAAACCCTTCTAATAGCCTGTGTAGTTATGTATTCTATTATTTTCTATACATGTAATTACAATTTCTTTATTTGTGAACCATTCTTTTATGTAAATAAGTACCATATTATTATCTAGTATCTTCATATTTTTAGGAAGGCTATAAATATAAATTATTATTTAATACACATCATAAATAATTCATCGTGATTGAGCATGTTATGTACATGTAAAAAGAAAATTACTTTGATATTAATGAGAAATCAAAACAGAAAAAACATTTTAAACTGCCTATCTATAAATGACAAAAAATTTAGGTCCACTTACTATTAAACTATTATTAAAATTAAAAAAAAAAAAAAATTAACGCAAGGTGACAGTTAACAAAATAATAAAAAAAGATTGAAACTCACTTTTCATAAATAGTAATATGATGAGGGACCCACTAAAACACTTACTATTTTTAGTAAACGTGTTGCCAAAGTATATAGTAAATAGATTGTTGTATTTTCTGGTGTAGTGGCATTTGCTGGAACATGCATTCACCTCACTCTTGGAAACTGGTGAGGTACCGCATGTATCGCTTTTCACTGAAATGGCATGTCAAGCTATCATCAGGCACGATTATGAAAGAGCTCTGAATATCATCAACACCATGGCCTATGCTCCATTTCAAGTTAGCTTCCAGGACTGGATTAACCTCTTTGAAATAAATCAAGACAGGGTTGATCAGTGCGCTCTGAATGAATTACATGACAAACTCGTCAGTCGCGATTTAATAAAAGAAGCCACGGTCTTAAATCTGTCAAAAGCATTGAAATTTATTTGTGGATCTTGTGAAGGCTCGTCGAGAAGTCCTGAAGATGGCGTGGGTGAGCAAAATGTTCCATTGATTTCTGATCATCTCGACTCAGTCTGGAATCATGAGAGCACTTTGGTCAACTCATTGCATAAAAACTACACGAGTGATGACAAAGTGGAGGAAAAGGATATGGAAGGTGATTTTGGTTTGTCCAAAACCAGTCTTGAAGAAAATGACGACGCACGCGCAACCCGACTAGCTGAGAATTTTGATTTTGATTTGGTTTCCAAGAGTTGGCCATCTGATTCCTATGAAATAGAGTTTGAAAATATAGAACGTGAAGAGGGAGATTCAGATACTGATGATTTTGACCTCGGAGATATGAACCTGAGAAGTAAAGTGGATGAAGATTCACGAAAATCAGATATGCCGTCAGCATACGAAATACTAGAAATTTGGAAGAAAAGGTGAAGGCATTTTTTTTT